TAACCCTTGAGCTATTCCCTCCCCATTCATGTTCTCATCCAAGGAGAGGAGTTCTTTCAAACTTCCTCTGGAGTGATTGATCTTTGACTCTGATACCAGATTGGCTACTTGGTCCACAACTCTGAGTTAGAAAGCCCCCTCCTCCCAGAGCCTTTGGAGGGCTTTTTGGACAAGGGAGCCCACCTGGATTTCTCTACCTAACCCAGAGGGCAGACAAAGCACTTGACATTCCTGATGGAGGGGTGGAGCCAGGAAACGCCTGCCTTTGAAACCCTGCCCCTCCCAGACCCAGGAAGAGTCCCTGAGTACCTCCATGTTATAATTGAGAGAATTCCTTTTTCCTGTTGCACTTTTCCAGCCTTACAGAAGAATGAGTCAGAAAATGTTCCGGGTATAGTCATACATATGGGGGATTTTTTGTTTATTGCTTTTTAAACCCAGCAAGACAGTTATTTTCTCTTGTTCTTATTTTTCTTATACTTTCTATTTTGAATACTGATTCATAAAGGGTCAAAATACAAGTTGTTTCATATTTTGCTTATACTGAAAATTATAAGGCTTATACAAATAAAATCTTTGAACGCTTTTATAGGGGTGGGATCTCTCAGCAAGTCTACTGCATGGGGCAAGTCATGGCAGCAAAAAGTTAAGCCAAAAACAGCTGCTCTAAAGCTGCACTGGGTGTTAATCAAACCATCTCCCAAATAGCAGGGAGGCTTATATCAAACATCTTAATTTGCCCCCAAGCTCCTGTTTTTACCTTGATTTAATAATTCCCAGTGACAGCAATCTGCTGCCCTCATCCCACACAAGGCCTCGAGCCTGGGGTTCTACTGCTCATACCAACTTGCCTTCAGCAGCCCCTCAAGGAGAAAAGCGCCCCAGGAAGGAGATGGAGCTTTATTTTTATCCCAGTTAAAGTCCCTGTCCAATGCATTAACAGCTTTCATAACCTTGGTCCAGGGCATTTCCTGCAGAAGCTATAACCAGCTGGGGTTAATGAACTCTCCCTACCATTAATTCCTAGGAGAGGCCATTGGCCTGAATTGTTACTTAATTACTCTTCTGTGTACAGCTTCATAAAGCAATGAAATGCCTTCTTTCAGGAAGAAGGGAGATGGTAATGGGGGTCATCAGAGGCCATTAATTTTACAAATAGTTTATTGGAAACTACAGTATGTTAAGAAGTCACTCTGGCTCACAAATCAACTCAACGTGGCCCTTACTAAGCAGAGATCCAAAACTTCACAAGTTTCCGTGACTCGCATACACAAAAAGTTACAAGTGGTGCAGAATCTTATCAAAGGTACACACCACCTTCAGGAATGCAGAAATATATTCTTTAGATTCTGCAACTGATCGTACCTTCCCCTCTAGCTCTTAATCCTAAAGTTGGCAGAAAAGAATAAAGCCAATTTTAGATTTCATTAAATTTTCCAATTTAAACATGTCAGGTTTCCTCAGTCTTTTAAGGAGACTCCCCCTCTCTAGAGTGCTCCTCTTTCCCAAGATGGTAGCAGGTACAAAAAAAAAAACTCTGTATCCAGGCAGCCTCATAGGAAAAGCTTTGGGTCTTCATACCTCTACGTAGTGCTCCCAAATCTGCTGGACTCTGTGTCCACCTCAGCACAGCTGGAGAGCTTCTCTTGTCCACCAAGCTTCTTACCACACCTACACCCCACTCCCAAGTCAGAGAGCGCTCGGTTGCTTTTTCTGCACCACCAAAATTATACTTGAAACAACCTCCCCACCATACTCAAAACAGGTATACACACTGCATTTGCTCTTGCCTCCTTCACCTGTTTATGTTTCCTCATGGTAGTGCTACGAAGCAAAAGAGGCTCCCTGCCCAATGTGCTGGAAACCAATACTATGATAAAAGATTTTCTGGGAAAAGAAAAGCTTTTTACTGTAGCTCTACCAACAAGGAGACAGGGGTCCAACTCAAATTTGTCTCCCTGTTTGAAGGGGAAGCCTCTATCTTTTATTAGAAAAAGTTTAGGGAGTGGATTCTAGAATTAGCAAATGGCTGGCAGAAGAAAAAGGGAGGTCTGGAAAGTCCTCAGGCATCCACAGTTATCTCTTCATGCCTCCTCATGGGTCCCATGTGCAAATTCAGGAGAAATTAATATAAAACCTGCACTGGAAATTCAGGCTGTGACATCAGTAAGCTTGTTCTGCACAGACTCCAGTTGGCCCTATTGGTTCCCACCAATTTCAGCCAGGTTTTTTGTTTTTAAATCTCTCAAATGGAAGGAGTTTCAGCATTTCAGCGAATAGTTTCTTTTCTTACCTGCTTCTCTGCAAGCTCAAGAATTTGTTTCTGGTTTCTTTAATTCTTTGGGGTATGGTTTCAGCAATCTCCTCTTTTATCGTATTAAGTAAAAATAATGTTATTTATTTTATTGTGTTACCAGTCCCCCTACACACACACACACACACACACACACACACACACACACACACACACA